GCACCACGTAAGAAAAAAGCCGGAAGTGGCGCTGTGGCTCAAGTGGTAGAGCGATAGCCTTGAGCTGAAGAGCTGAGGGACAGCGCCCAGGCCCAGAGTTCAGGCCCCATGACCGGACCCAAAAAAAAAAGAGTCTCATGGAGTTTCCTGCCTGGGCTGGCTTTGAACCATGATCCTCAGATCTCAGCCTCCTAAGTAGCTAGGATTACAGCTATGAGACACTGGCACCTGGCTAGTATTTAGGTTTTTAGACATTTTCTCTGAGAGATGTTTCTCTTAGTTATGATTCAAGCAGAAAATGTTTCAGCCAGGTAAGAGGAGTATTAGTAATTTTTTTTTTTTGTCGGTCATAGGGCTTGGAACTCTGGGCCTAGATGCTTGTTCCCAAGCTCTTCAGCTCAAGGCTAGTGCTCTACTACTTGAGCCACAGCACCACTTCTGGCTTTTTCTGTTTATGTGGTGCTGAGGAATCAAACCCAGGGACTCTTGCATGCGAGGCAAGCACTCTACCACTGAGCCACCTTTCCAGCTTGAGTATTAGTATTTTTAAGGGTGAATAGACATTTGATAAATCTACCTAACCTGTGTGTGTGCGTGCGTGTGTGCGTGCGTGTGTGTGTGTGTGCGCGCGCGCGCGTGTGTGTGTACCAGTCCTGAGGCTTGAACTCAGGTCCTGGGCACTGTCCCTGAGCTTTTGTGCTCAGAGCTAGCACTCTACTACTTGAATCACAGCTCCACTTTCAGCTTTTTTGGTAGTTAATTGGGGATATGAATCTCATAAGCTTTTCTGCCTGGGTTGGCTTCATGCCTCCATCCTCAGATCTTAGCCTCCTAAATAGCTAGGATTATAGGCATGAGCCCCTGGCTCACTCTCAGTATACTACAAGACTACTTTCAGGGCTGGGAAGTTGGCTCAGTGGTAGAGCGCTTGCCTTGCATGCCTAAGGCCCTGGGTTCGATTCCTCAGCACCACATAAGCAAAAAGAAAAAAGCCGGAAGTGGTGCTGTGACTCAAGTGGTAGAGCGCTAGCCTTGAGCTGAAGAGCTGAGGGACAGTGCCCAGGCCCAGAGTTCAGGCCCCACGACCGGACCAAAAAAAAAAGACTACTTTCAGTATTTTATTCTTGTCTTGTTGCAGTTTTTTAGTACTTTTGATTTTTTTTTTTTGGTTTTTATAAATGTATTCTCTTTATTTTTTTTGACTCTCTCACAATTCTTTTTTTTTTAATTTAATTTTATTTTATTTGTGAACATACTGTATAGAGGGGTTACAATTACATGGGCAGGATAATGCGTACATTTCTTACCAAGCATTGCAGCCTCCTCCTTTGTTTACCCTTCACATCCCTTC